AGTCGGAGAGATGGAAACCACTAAGATCGAAACTGTCACCAATATTTACATCCGGAAAGATTAAAGAGATGTTTCCTCTTGTCATGGAATGTGCGGGAAACTTAGAAAAATTTGTAGACAAAGTAGCGGACAATGGCGAGCCAGTGGAATGCCGTGAAATGTTTGCGAAATTCACGACCGACGTGATCGGGAGCTGCGCGTTTGGAATCAACATGAACACACTTGAAGACGAAGACAGCGAATTTCGAAAAATGGGCAAACAAGTTTTCACGCCCAATTTTCGACAGCTGATGGAGGACGCTTGTAAACAATTTGCACCATCGCTGTTTAAAGTCATTGGCAAGTATCTCCATTCACCGGTAGTCGAGAACTTCTTCATTGGTCTAGTACGCGACACGATGAAGTACAGAGAACAGAATAACGTAACCAGACCAGACGTAATCAACATGCTCATGGAACTGAAGAAACATCCAGATAAATTGGGCAATATCGGTGAGTTGATAATTTATCTCTCAATCTATATACACCGGAAACGAAGTTCATAAAAATGTAAAGTTAAATCATTCAATTTTTGAAATTTTTACGAGAATTCGAGATTTTATTTACTAATGTTCGTCACATACAAAATGCAACAAAATATGAAATACAAAATCTTAATGATCCAGTAGGTTACTAGAGTCGAGAACCCAACAATCTTATTTGATATTATATTATCGAGGCAAATGAGGCCACAAGCAAAATTGATTACAAATTCTTTACAGCTTCTTCAAAAATAATATTACTGTAATTTCTGTTCTCTAGATACTCTAGATTACAATTCAAATCCTCAGTCAATCACAGTTGATAATTCTGTCATTCATGTCCTAATTGAAATTTCTCAAATAGGTGTCTTTTATGCCAACTTCATATTATTCCCAAACTACATGAAAATTCGCTGAAACATTGGCTTAATCTACATCCTTATAAAACAGCTGATACAACACCTATCGATATCTTCTGAATTTTAAACCATCTACTTTAAATCCGTTGTTGAATATCATTTTTGATCACAAAATTCTAAATAACATTGTACATTATACATTATACGTCATTATACAGACTAAATTTTGTGGTTTACAGAACTAACCGACACCTTGCTTACTGCGCAAGCGTTTGCCTTCTTCGTTGCTGGATTCGAATCTTCGTCGTCGACGATGGCGCATACACTGTACGAGTTAGCACAGCACCAGGATGTTCAAGATAAATTACGACAAGAAATTAGACACACGTACGAGAAGAACGGTGGTACACTGACATACGCAGATATCAAAGAAATGAAATACTTGGACAAAGTATTCAAGGGTACGTATCGAAAATTATTACAATATATCTACTGAAACCTGTTAGATAAATAGAAGATGTTGCTGCCTACTTATGAAAGAGGAAAAATTTAGCGTAATGTGTAATTATAATTGAACTTTTAAGAAATATATGAAATACAAGACTTGATTAGAAATACTTGATTGTAAAACAAAAATACATTAAACTGCTTTTTGTGAATTAATTTGATCCTTGCCGAACTAAAGATATGCAAATTTGTTTTAATGCAACAGATATTTAATTCCTTCACAGAAACGCTACGAATGTATCCAGTACTGACGATGCTGACCAGACAAGCAGAGGAGAATTACACGCTTAAAGGAACGAAAATCATCATACCGAAAGGAATGAGAATATGGATATCCGTGTACGGAATTCAGACCGATCCCGACATTTATCCGGAACCAGAGAAATTCGATCCGGAAAGGTTTGAGGACGATGCTGTTGCTGGTAGACATCCTATGAGTTTCCTATCTTTTGGCGATGGACCGAGGAATTGCATTGGTATTCGAATAAAATACATATAAAATATAGCGTCTGACATCGTTTCATTATTAATACTACACTGTGAGAATAGAAATGTTTTAAAGATTTGAAGGAAAATCATTTGTGTCGATAACATGTGAAATATTATATTTTTATTTATCATGCTAGTGAGAGTAATCTATCGTGAAATGTATTGATCAAATTATT